CTTTTTTTTTTCCCTTCTCAATAAGATGGCAGGATATGGACGAGGGCTGGGTAAAGAGATTTTTAGGCACGCGACAGCCTCCTCCCTGATTAGGGAGTCGAAAGCCAGCTCTCCCTGGCAACGTGCCCGGACTACCGCTGCTTACACCCAAGGACACGCTCATATATGCAGGCACGCTGCCTCCGCTCATCCTGATTAAGTGCAGCACCAGAATAAATGAGCTGCCTTAAGTGCGACAAGATAGCGAACCGCAAGGTGGATTTTGTGGCCAAAACGGTGCTCTCCTTTTAATTAGGTCTGGCTTGGAGGTTTCTCTGACTTCAGGACCAGTTTGAGACACTTAAAAACATTCAGCTTTCCCTTGGTGCCTGAGACTTTTAGGAAAGCAACTGTAAAAAGAAGAAATGCTTCATGTTCACAGAGAGGTTCCTAAATTAGCATACACACGAGTCCAGAGTCATGTAAGAGGAGCAAGGAATTTAGTCAAAGTAAGCCAAGTATTTCCAAATTATAGAATTTTTAAACCAATCTTGATATTCCATCATAAGCATCTTAGGGGCAGGGAACAGTAAGAGTCTAGCATGTACTAAGTGCGGGCTGTATGTGCTGATTGGGTGACATGCATTATATTATACAACCCTGGACTTGTGGCTCCAATTAGTGAAAAAGAGTGGGATCAGCTGTCCGAAATGATGAAGGGAAAGGTAACGCTGGACACTTCCTGAGGAGTATCATTCAACAATGTGCTGTAACCAATAAATGCTCTTGGATCCCTGATGGGCTTAAGTGACAGCTGAGTTGAAAAAGAGAAAGGGTTATGGACCAGGAGTGGCAGGTGTCAGGGCTGAGATCAGATTTCTGCCATGGCACTTTGGTGGCCAGTTATGTAATTGACCATCACAATATCTGTGAATAATCCATCCCGAAGTTGAGCACTTCTCATTCAAGAGGTAACAAGCAGAGCAAGGAAGTACTAGGATTTAAGCAAAATGTACTCAGACAGATCTGAGCAAAGGAAACCAGACCTGAGAATAAGGCAGTGGTTCTGATGAGTTCTTTACTAATTCAGAGGTTAGTGAATTCAGATTGAAATAGTTAGTTGTTCCATCTGCTTGGCTACTCAACAACCATATTATTAAGTTGAGTTTTTCCTATTCAAGGTAAAGATTTGTTTAATAAGGGCCTCTGAAATTTAAGTTGAATTTTAATAAGTTCCATTAAATAAGTAACAAAGCCCTTTTTATTGGCACTTAGGGACTTGTGGTGTTATGGAATAGAAAACAAGTGAACTCAATACGTCTGTCAAACTTACTTATGAAAGAAAATTATTTATTCCAGCAGTGATTCAACAATAAGGTGTGTAATGCTTTCTGGATGTCAAGGGCCGTTTTAAGAAGTTGTTAATGCTTTAAGAGGAAGAGTCTGGGCAGAGCTCTGACCCTGAGAACACAGGCTGTTCCCAACTTTGAGGCAGGTTTTGTTCCAGAACCACTTGATTGTAAATGACTTGTTTGGCACTTGGGTTTCGTTTGTCCAGAGAGACAGCAATGCAAGCAGAAGCACTCAGCCTGTGGCTTTCAATAAAGTAGTGGTAGAGAAAGAAACCTAAATGTCCTAAGCCCTGCAGATGGGACAAGCGTTCTGGGGGTGCCCTGAGGTGCCAGGACAGGCCACTCATGGGAAAAGCGCAAAGTTTTTTGAATAAGACACAAATGAGATCCAGTTTTATCTCTGCCGCTTTCTAGCTGTTTGTCTTTGGGCAAGTTACTCCTCTGAACCTCAGTTTCCATCTAAAACAGGAAAAATTGCATGAGCCTACATTGCAGAATTAATGTCACCTAAGGTGCTTCAGTTCAACGTGCCCAAACTCTCTATGTTCTTCCAGACTTGCTCCCATTTAGCCTAGCTCATCTTCAGTCAGTCAGTTACCAAGTCCCGTAGTTTTTACCTCCTGACTCTTTCTGGAACATTTCCATTCACCTCCATCCCCGGCACTACCCTAGACCAGCCACACCTGCATCTCTACCACAGGATGAACACACGTGCTCCGCTCTCTGCCACCTCAGCATTCTTGACACTTGCCCAAGGGATGTCCCTGCACCCAGTATCGTTCTCCTCTAATCCGTTCTCGACAGGGCAAGAACTCTCGAGAGCTTTCTAAATGCAAGTCGGGTCTTGCGACTCCTGCTTAAAATCATTCCATAGCTTCTCATTGCCCTTTGGATAAAAATCGAACTTCTTAGCGTGCGTGTTAAAACCCTGCACACCATTTGGCCCCCACCTCACTCTTGGTGCTCTAACCCCTCCGACTCCACAAACCTGCTCCTCTGACTATTTAGGTCTCTTCAACATACCGCACTGGCCTCCGCTCCCACATGCAGCCCTGAAACAGGGGGTCCCTCCTTCATTGTGCCTCCCAAGCCTGCCCGGGCCAATGACGCTACCCATTGCCTTCTCTGTAGGGTGGCAGGCCGAGCTCGAGCCCACCGGTCGTTAGGATTCCAGTAGCAGCACCCAATACTTCCCTTGTGGGAATACTTGACTGTAATCACTAGTTTAGTTCTCTGGTTTCCTTGTAGGCTAGCAGGCTGGTGCAGTACAGGAAGGTGACAGTACCAGGGTAGGGTTCGGATTGCCTAGGTTAGATTGGGGGCTCTGCCTGTATTTTCTTGTCAAATTGCTCATCCATCTTTGTGCCTCAGTTTCCTCCTTTGTAAAATGGGGGAAATAATACTGACTACCTCACAGAGTTATTGTGAGTTAAATGAGTTCATATATATATATATTAATACATACATGCATATATATATATGGTTAAGTGCATTGATTGGTACATAGAAAATAAGTCTTCAATAAACTGAGACACACATATAATGGGTGCTCACTAAATACATACAGGCTTTTTATTGTTTTGTTTTGCTTTTTAAACAAGGTATTCCTAAGACTCTTTTCCTGTGAGTCCACACTTGCCCTTTTTCTTCCTTGTCTGTTAGCTTGGTAAGATTGGAGCCCCAATGTAAAAAGTGTTAATACTGTATTGGCTTCCCTGTTTTCCCAACCCGTGTAAACTTTTGCTACGATGTAAAGACATAAAGTAGAATACAAGTGGGCAAAGGAAATATCATATTCATAAAACATGTTCTGCAGCCAACCAGCAGGGCACCCCTTACCTCTCTCGTTGTAGATTCTGCCTCTGCTCAGATCTCTGTAGTCCTCGCCTATTTTGGAGCCCTTTCCTTAGAGGCCCCCTGCCGGGAAGTCCTCTGTGGTGAGGCCGGAGCGTGAAGCCCGTTTGGCACAGATAGGACTGCAGCGCACAAGCAAATTAAAGCAGTCTCAGCTTTCCATTGCACTTTGCAAAAAAAAAAAACCCAAACAACAGCAACAACAAAAACCTATAATTTGGGGGCTTTCTTTTTTAGAAGGAATCATTAAATACATTTCCAAGGCAAAACTACAAATTAGTGCAGCACGGGGCGTGTGACATTTTTTAAGGTCTTTGGAGGGAATGACAAAGCAAGGAGCTTCCCTCCTTCATGGGCTGTAAGTTTTCGTGAAAACATCCTGTCTGAAAACAAATCAATAAACATTGCAGCTTGCTCCTGAAATTTGTGAGGGTGTTCTTATCACCTGGTAGATAGCAGGCTTCAGGAGAGTCATTGTCATTTCCATGTTCGCATGAGTCACTGGGTCTCTTGCCCCCAGAGGCACCTCATTATGATTCAGTGCAAAGTACCGAGAGCACAGGGGCTTCCGGAGGGAGCCAGGTGGGGGTTGTGGTGGCTCCTCCGTTGGCACAAGGCTTAATTGACACCTTTGATGTAGCCTAAGACAGAACCCGCACCTCCCACTGCTGCTTGGGAGACGTCAGCCTTACGCAGAAAAGGCATCTGCTGATGAATCCTGCATCTCATTCAGCCTGCTCTGGCAGCAGCCGTAGCCATCCCTAGCGAACCCAACGGGTTCCCACTCCGGCTGGTGCTCGGCTCAGTGCTGAGACGAGATTGCACCTCTTGGCTACTGTCAGGTCCAACACTAAGACGGTGTCCATGTTAGAGCTCATAGAAGGTAAGTGAGACGCATCGCCGCTCTCCCTCGTGGAAAGCATTTATTATGCACCCTCAGGAATGCCTGTGTGTCCCGGCTCATTCTCCCTCACTGACTGTGGAACTGTGTGGTGTTGTCATTTTTAGAGGTTAAACAGTGGCACCGCATGTATCCTTTATAGAATCATGTCTTTAAGTGTTTTACCTGCTGTTAGAGGTGATGTTACTTAGAGAAAAGAACTGCTTACTTGACTTCCGGGGCTTTAATTCAGCTCAGTGAGAGTGGTGTATGAAACTCTTGAGACTCGAGTAGAATTCCAGTGATTCGAACATGGTAGAAAGCAGCTTTTCTTTTCAGTGGCAGCAGAGACAAACTGTGAGTGGCTCCTCGGCGTCTGTAGCCGGTTACTTTGTCCTGTTCAAGGCAGGTCCAGCAGAATCAGGCTAGGGTGATGGAGGGGGCAGCAGTGGACGCAGGAACTTTTTCCAGAAGTAAGGTATTAATTATGGAAATACAGTGATCTGCTAATCAGGTCACTGGGGATGTCACCAGTGAGCTGTGCTGAAATCTACTCCTGCCGGGCAGCACTGGGCAGCTGAACCAGGCAATTAGGGGTGAATCTCGTTGAAAGTATCTCGGGACCTTACCCACATTCCCGAAATCCCTGTTTGGCACAGTTAAAGGCGTTGTTAATAAATTCCTCAGGAAAGTTGTGAAGAGTACCTTTAAAAATATCACTCTGTAACCTGCCGCTGTATGAAACACGGGATCAACAAAACAGTGACTTTCTAAAGGAGACTATTCCCCAAGGCTCTTGTTGATACAGACGAAAGGGTGTCTAGAGTGTTAGCCCATGCCCCTCTCTAACTGTTTATTTCTCGGAGAAGATGATTTGTCACGAAAATTCTTTAACGTGCCATTTTTTCTCTCTGTGTGATTCTTTGTGTTTCTAGTTAATGGAACCCCTGGTAGTCAGCTCTCTACTCCGCGCTCAGGCAAGTCGCCAAGCCCATCACCCACCAGCCCAGGAAGCCTGCGGAAGCAGAGGGTAAGGCAATGAGCAAGCTGCCCATTTCAGACCTGTCTCAACTCGGTGCAGAAGGGTACAGGTGCCCGCAAGTAGCGCTGCTTGTCTCTAGGTGATGACCAAGCCAGGGCAGGAGGTGACCGCAGGCGGGTCACTTATTATTGCTGTGGTGTAGCTGGAACTCAGGGCGTTTAATTTCTTTGTGAACTTGTCCAGATCTTAACTGTGAGAAGAATGTGCCTTGGCTGCTTCACTTTTAAATACCCTCCTCTTTTTGTTCTGAATGCACAGACTTCATGAGCTCCGGTTTGTAAGCTTTCATGGTTGTGATGAGTTTCGTTAGCTATCCTTATTGACCACCGGGACAAGAAGAAGTGCTGGTAACAGCGGGAGAGGGTCCTGGTGGGAGGTGCGTGTGGCATGGAGTGTCCCAGAGCAGCGTAGGGTCCACGGGGCGGGGGGTGGGGACATTCGTCCTGTATTTTTGTGAATGAAACTCACATCAAGCACCTTCTCTTTCATCATTACTTGCGTTTATTTTTAGCCTCTTGGGTAATAAGGGAGAACTTGGCTGAGCTTAGAGACCATAGTGAAAAAGTTACTGGAAACAGTGTTAGCTTCTCCACGCTAAGGAAGGGAGTGCAGAGCAGTGCTTCTTTCAAGATGGAAGAACTATTGTTCTCATCCCTTCACAACCTGCATTGTTTGTCTTTTCCAGTAGCAACAAGGCAAGAATGAAAGGAGCGGGAAGGGGAGAAGGGAGGGAGGTACAGTGGAAGAAATTGAAGGCCCTTCATGGTGCTGATTTCAGAAGTGGGAGATTGTCCTAAGTTGCTCTTAGGAGGTTTTACGATGGTGCTCACCCAATATTTTAATAAGAAACGACTTTTTGCAGGCTACTGTACTCAAATACTGGACTCTTGAATTTCGTTCCTTTTATTATGTGTTTAAAAATAAAGCTTCTAAGTTCCATAACTTAAGCTTCATCCAAGATGGAGGGCCCTTTCTTCAAGATTACTGCCCAGGTTGTATCTTTAGGCCACCAGGACCGTCAGTTGTCTAAAAGTGGGGAGCAGGGAGACTCAGTCGGTCCCTGGTTCCTTCAGAGCCCGTGGCACCAAATATTTAGGTTTTGTTATCTTTCTTCACTGGTTCTCCTAGCATTAAGTTGAGCTTGTTTGGTTTGTTTGATGAAGACTGGAGTTTGGCACCAGCTTGTCCACTCAATGGCTTTGTTATATTTGATGAGTCTATTATCTTTTCTGGGCCTCAGTTGAAAAAACAAACAGAGCTTCTTTCCAGATAGAAAACTCAATACTTCTAGTTCCATGTGGGTGTTTTCACTATGGTTTCTTCTTGGCCACAGTCTGATTGGGCATTTGAATGTACAGAAATCCTTAGTGAACTACTCAAAAGAATGACCACACCAACTCTTTCTCCACTCATGGATAGGCCTTTAGATAGAATTGGTGTGGTCATTCTTTTGTTATAAATGTTACCCAGCAAGGCTCCAAGGGACAGCCATTAGGTATGGCATGGGAAGGGCCCTCTTTCAGAGAATATTCTGTCTCTTAAAGTGTCTGTCTTGGAGAGTACACCTCACATAGAAATCCCTCTTTATTGTCTGAGCTAATTAAACTCAGATTCAGGATTTATTGGTACAGCTAATGCTTAGTTGTTGAGATTAAGAGTGATTGGGAATCTCTGCTACAGATGGGAGCTTCTCTCCCTTCCTGTTTGCCTTGGAGACTTCCATCTTGGGGTGTGAGGCTTTGCTTAAATGTCCCTTTGTTGGTAGAATGAGGCTAGAATGTCCTTCTTCTGCTCTCTTTGTTCTCTGCTTTACAATAATTTTGTCCAATCAAGGCAAGAAATTTCCATCCAACTGTGTGGCCACTGGCTTATATAATTAACATTTCTAGCACTTGGGAAATGATTATAAGGTGTGGATCTATTATAGATTCTTCATTTTGCCATTTAAACTACCATAGCACTCCCTGTACTTGAGAGAAAACACAATCCCATTTGTTTTAGGGGGACACAGGGTTTATCACCATCTGAAAACAGTTATTAAGCACATATTGTGAGCAGGGCACTGGATATATTCAAAGATGGTTCAGTTTCCAAGCTTTTGAATTTAAGCCATAAATGAACATCCCCCATCCATGTACCATGTCAGTGCATGGAGACGTTCCCAGCTGCTTTAACGAGAGGAGCTTTCATCTTGGTGTGTAGGCAACTGCATCAAATAAGCCCTCCCAGTTAAAATGGGCCTAGAATATCCCTAAAAACTGATCCTGTTTCAAATTTGGTTAATGTTCTTCTCAAATGGTTGGCTATACTCCTATGCAGGAAATACTGAAATAAGTGAAAGATGGCATGTGCTAAAAGAAGACACTTCAAAGAATAAATTAACTCTTTTTTATTGCAAATTGGAAAACAGTAGCTACTTCTATTTTTTCCCTTCTCTGTTGCCTAGCAACATGGCCAAGAAAATGAGTTGACTGCCACCACCCTGTCGCAACACACACACACACAAACACACACACACACAAACACGCTCCATACTCCGTTTTAAAATACAAGAACATAAGCTATTTTCTTAAAAGGAATACTGAGACATTTGACTAGTTTCTTTACAAATAAGAAAATCTATATTTTTATTTGTATTAATTATGATGATTTGATCAGTTTTTTTTCTTCTGTTAAGATCTTATTTTCATGTTACCTCTTTTGACATTTTAGAATCATCTTACACAATAAGAGTCTGCATGCCAGACATTTTTCTCCATAAACATATTCATGGCGATGCACCAAGTAACCTATTTTTCCAAAGCACAGTTATTTAAGTTGCTGTCTAGAAGCATTTGGTCACAGAAGCAGATCTTGGAGGCTCTTTTCCCACCCATGAACTTTTTTTGGTCCCATTTCTTAATCCATCAGGAAGAAATGTGTTGCGTTGTGTAGGTTGAATGAAGCTCCCCATTATACTCCCACATCCCTGACTTTTGTGGATTATCTGATCAGTCAGATGATGTGAGGAGTGGGTGGTACGAAATAGGAAGAAAGCCAACTCTAGACGCTCTGCAGAGCTGAGCTGGTTGCCTGGCTACCAGCAGAGAGATCTAGTAGCAGGAAGGGGCGGGAGGGAAGAAGAGAGGAGGTGATGAGTTGAGTGTTTGGAGAACAGAGAAAGAGCACTGGGAAGGGATTGGGGGGGGGAGTGAATATTGCACTCTTTCTGTTGTCCAAACATAAAATTTTGAAAAAGCAATTCTTGTTGGGTTGATGTTCCGTGCAAATGCAATGCTCGAGTTGATGTTCTGGGACCAGAATTTGTTGAATGCCAGCTGGGGCTCCCAAGAAATTATTTTGTGAATTAAGAAAGTTCCATTTCTGCCCAGAATGCGAAGGAAGTGTTCAAGGAGGAATTGCCTAGACTCTCAGTAGCAGAGTTAGCCTTGACAGACCTCAAGGGCCATCAAACTCAGATGGGCACGCTTGAAGGCAAAACTTCATGAGTAGGCCAGGCAGCATTTTCTTGCCAAGAAGGCAAAACCAGCACCATTTTGTCTGCTTAGATGGTTTCTCTATTATTATTTTTTCTCATAACCCAAGTTGGTGATGTTAAGTGGTCCAATAATACTAGAAACTAAAGGATACCCATTCATTGTTGCTCCCAAGAGAGCAACAGGGCACCCAGAAAAGCCAAGTAAACAAATCTATACCGCCCTTCATCTTTCAGGACCTGTACCGTCCCCTCTCTTCGGATGATTTGGATTCAGTAGGAGACTCAGTGTAAAAGAGACAATGGAGCAATGTATATGGTTTGTGATTGGGTGAAGGTTTCACATTTCCTAAGCAAAAGTCTAACAGCAACATACACAAAAGAGTTTTGCATACCTTGACGTGATAAAGAACAAATCATACTAAAGTAAATATGTAGGCATATTTTATATTCATGATGTTTATCCTTGAAGGAGAGATTTTCTTCTAAATGTCTCCTCCATTGATTTAGTTGGGGAGAGTTTGAACACAAAACGGCTTTAATTGCTGAGATTTTCGTATCAGGCCTGGCTCTAGATGAATTTCATATGTGAACCCCAAATGGAGTACAGGAACATGCTAATGACATAACAGCAGTACAGAGTCAAAATTTCTGTAGATGGAATATCTTTTTAATCATAAGTAGGCATATAGATTTTTCTGTACTTTCTATAAAGCATATTAAATAGTACCAGCAGGCATTTTTTTCTTAAAGTTATATTCTTTTTAAAATTTGGATTGCAAAATAATAGAAGTATTCAGTTAGATTTTTTTTCTTCCTGAATAGTAGAAAAAGCTACTTATCATTTTATGAATTGGTATATCTTAGGGAAAAAAAATTCATGACAAGAACACATCTCATGAAGACTCTAAAATAAAGCCTTAGGAACTTTCCTTGTTTTTGTTGTCAAGTAAATTTTATTTTTTATTAAAGTTATCTTTGATTGGAAACAGCATAAGAATAGCTTAAGTTCGATGCCAACATGAAAAACTTGTCCAATGGCATTGCTATAATATTCTTCATGTTCAATGGACTATAATCATTTATGTAATTTTTCAAATGTGCAAAGGCTAAGCTAGGATTTTTTTTTTTCTCACATGCAGAGCTAAAAAAATTTTGTCTGGACTTTTTTCAAAAAATCTATTTGAAAAGCAAAATTAACTTAAATGGTGCTGTATAAATCAGGCCCAGAATATTCAAATCTCCATTCTGATAAATCCTGGATCTTGCTTGTGTTTTGGAAATTTCCATATGCAAAACTCCTTTTGTGTTAAACCAAGTAAGTCTATAATAATTATAACACGTTGTTAAACATTAACCTACTAATTCTGCTCTTCTAGTCCTCTGTTTTAAACATTATAGTCAGCTTTGCTTAGAAATAAAATAATTATTTTAAAATCTGAATGTTAAAACTTAATTTAATGTGTATGGTCTGTTGTATTTAAGCCATAGCCTAGTGATCATTTACTTTTACTAGTTCAAACACTAACAATTTAAGACTTGTGAAGCATGCTTTTGATATTCTCCAGGCTTGACATATCTCAGTAGGTGATAAATTAAAAATGTTTGATGCCATTTGGAGGATTTTACATGATTTTTTTTTTTCAAATTTTGCTTGAAAACTGAATTTAAAAACGTTTGATTCAAGATGGAGAGAAGTTCAGTTGTCATACACTGTTTTAAATGTTATTGATTTATCTCCTTGATAAATTGTTCAACTAGCAAATTTTACCATCTGGTTTGTAGTTACATATGTTACCATCTCACTTTACAAGTGAATAAAATATTCCAACCAAAAGAAGAAGAAGAAGAAGAAACGTCCAGGCAATCTAACAGCATTTGAAAACTTAGCCTTATAATAATTAGTGCCTCATTATCCTGTCTGTTGGAGAGAAAGACACTTCTCTGGCAGGTTATTTGAGAACTGCAAACTGAACCATTCCATCTTGAAAGAACAGTTCATAATAATACCTGTTCCAGACTTCAGGTTTTAAAACTGTTTCCAATAGAAATGACCAGAGACTCCTGCTGAGATCAAAAGGCTGCTTTGTTTTAGCTGAAACAGTAAACATCTGTGAGGTTGCCTATGCTGGTGTCTGTTTTAGTTATGTCTTTGTAAAATGCATTACTTAATACAGTTGAGTCCATAAAAGATTAGTATGTATTTGACTAAACTGTCAAAAATGCAAAGAAAGCAGTGGAACGGTTAATTTAAATCTGGTGGGGTCAGATGGTCCAGAACAAAAATAAATTCCAATAATTTTAACATCCCTGCCCTGTCAATCTTATGGACAACTACTGCTTAGAAAGACTCAATAAATGCTATTTGTTCTGGATAAGTGGCAGATATTGCCAATTGATATAAAGCCCCTGGCTTTGTTTAGACACGGCAAAAAGAAACTGGACTTGTACTAATTGCCGATAGATATCATGGCCAACTTTCCATTCAAGCAGTTCCAAGGGAAATGCTATTCTCCAGCATTTAATCTTTTGAACATATGATTTTTATTAAAGGACTGTTCAGGGGCTATATATATCATTTACTTTTTGAAACTAAAGTCCCTCAGAGATTGAAACACCACACCATTTATAGACTTTGAGATCTCTTTCTATGCAGTGCATAATTCTATTACACTAAAGAAGAAATAAAAAATTCTTAGCAACAAACCAGAAGTTTTCAGTTCATTGGTAAAACTGAATTGGTGATTTATAGGCACTTAAGATTTACTTATAGAATTCTTTATAAAAAAATTAGGCACTGAATTTTAAAGTTGTTCTACTGAGCAGGAGAGCACTTCGGCAAAAGCCATGCATTTTTTGTCTTTTTGGTAATCCTTAAATGTGTTTTGAAGACATCATGGTATAGCCGAAAGTTTGACACTTTTTCATTTGCACTCACTTTTTTCTTTGACCTAGACATTATAGAAAAAGATATTAGAAATATTCCCCTGCTTTCAGCATTTTAGAAATGCAAAATTTTAAAGTGTGAAGTTCAATATGAACTCAAAAGACTGTGGCTCTAAAAGCCACGTGGCGTGTTCTTCTTTGTCTTGCTTAATCACCTAAGCAGGAGGGAACATATATTGGCTCATCTAAATATTAAGAAACCAAATAACATTTTCTAAAAACATTTGAACCAGCATTGATGTGCTGTATGTGTTCCCTACTTTAACCAGCAGGGGTATTCTGGTTGCATCCATTGCAGATCTATACATGATTGGGCTCTTTTTCTACTTAAAAACAGTGAATTCTACAAGCTACGTTTCTTAATAAAAGTGAATGAAAATGTAGAATAATATTCCTGAAAAATAATTGCATATATTTTAACTAGTGGACTGCTAAATTTTTCATATGTGGCCATATATCTATACAGGTGTGTGGGTATTTATGTAAATTTGCCGGGCTTGGTGTGTATGTAGGTATGCTTATGTATTTGTGTATGTGTACAGACCATAAATAGTGAAGTATGGTATTTGTGATACAGCCTTATAAGTTACTGGCTCTTGTGGAATTGTATGATGTGAAATCTTCATGTCATAAAGTGTTACTCTGTGACATATTAGTTGGGGCACATTTAAGTTCAAGAGCAGTGTGCTAAACTAGTATGGCAAATGGTTCCAAATATTCCTATGTAGTGATTTATCAAAAAAAATTGAAATCCAGATAAACAAAACATTTGAAATCCAGCCAAATCCAATATTATGTTAACTATTAAATATAAGTACACATTAATGTTTAATATTGTTATGTATTGGTGCTCAATTATTAAAATGATTGAATACTCTGATTCTTTTTTTCTATTGTGTCAGTGACTTGTAGTGATTGTCAATCAATATTCACTAAAAAAGAAACGTGGAGTTGTGAGCAGTCAAGTATTATGTTGAAACATAAATAAAAGAGAATTCAGAGTATATTTGATTGGAAGTAAATTTAATAACAAAGCCAGATAACCATTAAGGCAATTCTGTATGTTCTTTCAAAACACTATTCTAAACTATTGACAAATTTTGAATATAATTGCTTATATGTGTGTATATATCTACATAAATATATATACACTTGAAAATGTTAACTGAATGAATTTATTCCATATGCATACTGTTGCTCATTTATGCATATTTGCATTAGCCTTGGTAGCATCTCTAATTGTGCATGCTAGTGACAACTGTATTTGACTGAGATATCCCACAGAGGTATAGTGTGAAAATTAGAGATATACTGAATACAACATACCAGTTGCCTGATATAGTGTGTTATACTGTCAGCTGAAAAATACTTGTAATTTCGTGCCTGTAATGCATGTGGAAAAAGTATGAAATCAGAGGCCCTCACCATAAATTTTAAGGGTGCATGACATATGGTGTCTTTAAAATGTGGTTCATTTTAGTAAAGATGATGGATAAATTCCAAGATAGTATAAATGATGCATGTAATACATGAGTGTTTGTATTATATATGGCCACAAAATGTCTTTGAAGACAGGGTAGTAGATATCTGAAGGTTATAGGCAAATAACTATGAATGTTAATTTTCTTGTGATTTCTTTTTGAGGAGTTCGTACTCTTCAACAAGCAAAGAATTGAGTTTATTTTTTCTAAGGACTCTTTACTTTGAAATACACTATGAATGTTGTAAATTTGGATACACTTTTTATAAAGAAGTTACATACTTTCTGCTTACAGTTTGAGTTGCTTGGATGTATATTCTTCTCTTAAAAAACCAGTTGGTGTTAAAATGTTTTAAACAGCAATATATTTTTAAATCCATCCATCGAGGCCATCAGCAGAGTTTTACAGAACTAAGGGTTGATGAAATGTTTCATTTAACTACCCAGTTTTGAAAGTTCCATCACTTTGTGCTGTGGTTTCATTGTAAAATGTTGTACTTTGTGTTTCACACTGGACCATGTTATTCCTCTTGAAGTTACCTTTGTGACGCCTAACACCTTAGAATAACTATATAATAAACAGGAAAAACTGCCTATGTTGTTCAGTGAGTTTCTTTCAGAAAGCTTGATAAACAAACACTGAAAGTAAAATGACCGTGTGGGGTCAGGGGTACTGTCATAATCACGTGTATGGCATTCTTGTGTTGTAATTAGCATTAGCAAGTGACACTTGAGTTACTGCAGAATGGTACCACATGACAAATAAAGTATAAAATACTGGCAGTAACAACAAAATAAGATTATCTGATGAAGAATTCTGTTTTAGTTGTTTGCATTAAAATCAGTAATATATCTTCCTCTCAAGGTTGCCTTAAGGATGAATTTGTCAGACATACTGGTAACTGGTTGAAAAAAAATTAACCTGCATTTTTAAAAGTATACTAGATGTCTTCTGGCTCTGAAGGCATTTTTCCCAAGGTCATCTAATTTGCGGGGGAAAAAAAAATGTGCCTGTGTATGTGTATATGTCTGTGTGTGTATGTATATAAGCTATTTATTTTTAAATCACTGGATAATTTAACACATAAAATTTTAAAAACGTAATGAAATTAATTAAATAAATAATAATAAAATATTTGATTCCCCAACTCTAATTTAGAACAAAAAATCATAATCTATTTCATTCATAATATGATATAAGGGAAGAGAAAAAATTCTGCTAGTCAGGCTAGAAAAAAATATTTCACATTAAATTTATTATAGAAGTTCAGAATTCTGGATTTAAATCTAACATTTTTACTAGATTAGTTTAATCTTAAAATTATAGTTTACTTTAATTAGTTCTTTTTATTATTTCTATAACTTAAATATAATCAATCAATATCCCTAGCAATAATGATATAATTGGAGGGAATGTTTCCAAATTTATAAAATTCCAAATTGTGTTTATACTTTCTTTCTTCTTCTTTTTTTTTTTTTTTTTTCTGTTCTATTGCCCAGGCTAGAGTGCAGTGGCATCATCATAGCTCACTGCAACCTCAAATTCCTGGGCTCCAGTGATCCTCCTGCCTCAGCCTCCTAAGTAGCTGGGACTATAGGCATGCCCTCCCACGCCTGGCTAATTTTTCTATTTTTTGCAGAGACAAGGTCTTGCTTTTGCTCAGGCTGATCTCAAACTCTTGAGCTCAGTCTTCTTGCCTTGGCCTCCCAAAGTGCTAGAATTACAGGCGTGAGCCACTACACCCAGCCTATACTTCCTTAATATAACTAGAGTTTAAAATAAAATGTAGAAGGTGCCTAGAAGAATCATGAGCTTCCCTCATTACAGATTGAGAATCGCATTTGAGAAGTAAATCATAGAAAAAATTATTCTATCCAAAGTAAATACACTAGATGGTTTCCTGGCCCCCTTCCAAACTATGATGTCATGAAGAGTAACTCATGAGAGGAGGCATGTGGCTACCCAGTGGTACAGTCTCTTCAGGACAAATGGCTCAGATCACAAATTCATACATCTTGGCCTGAGTATAGTGACTGGACGGTAGAGGCAAGTGTAGACCTAGTTGTAACTGAATTTATTTATTTTTGCTTCACTAACATAGATGTAATACCATTGTTTCCATTTTCATTTTCTCTTCCTCTCAGTAAACCAACTTCATGAGTAGCAGTTCTTCAGTCTTTCAAAAGATGTAACCAAATCTTTGTGACAACATTTTACATTTTTCAGTATTCATTCTTAGTTATGTTCATGCTTGTCTGTGCTGTAAACTTTATTTAGGTTGAACATATCTTATGAAGAGGGCAGACAAAGGAATTTGGAAAAAGGAGTTCCCTTTGTGCCTTGTTTCAAATAATGGAGCCTTATTAGTAATTGCAGATTGATGCCGTCAGTTTATTATTCCATACCCACCTGGGAAGTAAATAAATGTATGGCTTTTCTATATCACATAGAACCCTATGGAATTGAAGCTTTCTACACCAAGATTATTATTTAAGTTTGTTACATGAGGTCATCGTGAGAGATTCTGTAGACTTTGTAAAGTCATGATCACCAAGACAACTTTGTTAAATATTTATTGGTTGTGTTTCCTTTATAAAATTGATCCAGCAATGATATGACAGTGACGACTTGATTTCTAAATTCTTTGTAACCATTTTCCAAATCAGTATAAATTCAACAAAGTGATAACTATATGCCATGACAAAATGTGAAGTGTCAAAAGTACAATTATCCAGCCAAAGCTAAAGTTATCTGGGGAGATTTTCTACCTTTATTAGATCAGTTTTATCAATTGGATATTTTCAAAATCTCTGTACAGTGTGGAGCCCAGATGAGTGACAACATTTATACAAATGACAGGAGTTAACTCATACCATTTAAAATGAGCTGTTTTTCAGTACATAGTCATCAGCCACGTCTTGGTAAAATGTGCTTAGAGCTGTTATGTCAGCTTTCTCACTTACTTCAAAGGTGTGATATGTTCTCCATCTGTTATATGATCCCAAGCTAAATAACCACACTTAGGACGTGTTCTTACTTAGGGCAGTGCTTTTATGAAGGTGTGCCATAAAAGCAGCCAGGTGCCGGCAACCTGCCCAAATGGTTCCCATTAAATCAGCTTGGGGGTGATGATATTTAAAATGTCACAACATCTCTCAGAGCAGCTAATTGCCTTAAATTCTGAAACAACTGTACGTTTCGTACTGTACACTCAAATGCCTTGGAATTGAAGCAAACATAAAATCTTATCAGCATGTAGACTATAAAATGGTGTGTATGTTCAGAAAACTAAATAGGTAAATCGATTTCCTTTATAAGCAATCAATAGTATAGGTGGGCTTTTCAGCTTCTGTTGGTCATAAACAAAGGCCGTTGAGTCTCACTAGGTTAATTCTGAAGAACAAGAACCTACACATTTTTCCTTCACTATGTGCAAAATCCTTCAATCAAACTATGGATGATAATCAGCACATTCCAGCAAGGTTCGAGTTAGTGTATTTAGATGGGTTAGTAACAGCCACACTCAAAGAGCCACGCTGATTCCTGAAATGACTTCAACTGGGAGAGAGAGCAAAAACGTTAGGTGACCAAATCAGAATCTAAAAAACAACAGGCTGGAAAGATACGAATGTAATAAAGATAATGTTTAACATGCACAAATAGGAAGTACTGGATGCGGTCTAAAACAACCACCTCTCAAATACAGATCCAGGAGACATTACACACCTGTGAGCTCAGTGTAAGTTTAAAATACTGTGGCTTCATCTGTAGTATTTTGGATGTGAAAGAAAGAAAACTCTATTCTTCTCTGCTCTGTGCTGGTCAGAGTACACCTAGACTATTGCATTCACTTTTGAGCACCAGCTTTAAAGAGAGAGATTGACAGCTAGCGTGGGTCCACAGGGGTGTGAGGAGTCCACAGCCGTGGAGTCCTGCCCCATGACAAGACAGTCAGCCAGAGAAACTGGTAACGTTCAAATGGAAAAAGAGAAAACACAGAAGGAGCCCAATAGCTATTTCCAAGTACTGGAAGAACTTGGGATAAATGGATTAGACCTGGACTGGGTGATTATAGAGATGAGAGATTGGACCAATAAATGGAAATTGCAGAGGGACATGATTTCAGCGTAACTTAAAGTAGGGCTTCCTATACTTTGCTTCCAATTAACAATGAAAAGCTGCCTCAGGAAGCAGAGTGCTCAGTACTGGAGGTGTTCGGACAGAAGCCATCTGATGGCCAGCTGAGGTTTCCGCAGAGGGGAATTTAGTCTCTGGATGGAAGTGGGTGGAATAGGTAATAATACTTAAGGTCCGTCCCAGTACCTGAAATTCTGTGAGTCCACGAATGGCCATTGTCTTGGAAAAATAGTCATTCGTTAGCTATCTGACTTCTTTGAGAAAAAGAAGAAATAACACCATTCGAAGTTTGATACATTTATTTTACACTATTTCAGCATAATAAATGAAATGAGAACTTTTAATTTTTCAGAGTTACCCTGCTTGTCAGCAAATATGTTTTTCTCTTAAAATTGTCCATCATCTGTTACTCTCAGACAGCAGGAAATTTGAAATGGCTTGGGATACATTTGCAAAAGCACAAAGTTGAGAATAAGCAGTCATAAACATAAGCAAACCTGTATTAACTATACTTATTTTTTTAAAAAACCAGAGCCTAGAAACCTTGAGAAGTTTTTGTTCATAAAGCAGAGAAAACACAGCTGGCATTGTGGCAAGAGCTCAGGGTATCAGCCATTTGGTGGCACTGTTGAAAATGCAGTTCTTTAGTGGATAAGGCAGTTAGTGAATAATACCCAGCAAGTTTATAGGATGTTACAGTTTAAAAGATGTTTTCGTATACTTTGAATCAGAGCTCTGTATTGAATATCTGATGTTCTTATTAAAAGAATAAGCTTTTGGATTTGAGTATCTAAATTGTAGACATCTTTGCTAGGAAGCATACTGCTGGTCTATTCATTTGGGTGTTGATGGAAGAATGTGTCTTTGTATTCTAAAATTTAAAATACCACATGACAAGGCAGCACCTGCCACCCCAAACCACAATGTTTCTACATTATTAAACACCATTTGTGATGCTGCTGGAAGAAGTTCAAGGACCAGAAGAGAAGGTCTACACTTTAGACATTTACTTAGTGCCTTTCTGGCTTGGAAGACCATTATGTCTACAGCAAAAACAATGGCACAAGGGATGAAGGATCTCACTGTTCTGGAAAACACACACCTTCTCCTCAAATGGGGTTATGTTAATGTTTATTCTCTCCAGTCATCGGCATAATAAATCTGCCTTGTCTCAGCCTCATATTGCAATATAATAAATACAAGGTTTTCACAAACAGACACCCAGCCATTAAAGTCAGCAGAGCGTGGCCTGGAAGCTCATGTGTTTACAGTCCCTTCGACAGAGGGGGTTACGAATACACGGTTAGTGTCACACTAAGAAAATCTCTGTTTCAGCATTCCGATCTGAATCCCTCTTTCCAGGATCGGAATCCCTCTTTCCAGCCTGCCCTGTGGCAAATGTGTGCTGTTGGTCACAAAAGGTGGCTGGATGAGAGAAGATGGAAACACAGCTCAAGTCATCAGGCTTATTGAGGGGGGATTTTTATGACATTGGAAAATAGTGGGCACATCACACAAACTGTGTGGCAATCAGGGGTATACCAGAATAACCACACAACTTCTAGAATGTTCTATGGGAAAGCAGATGCATTATAATGTTTACTTTAACTTCCATCCCCATGGTGTCAACTGTCAGCTTGGATAGGGCCCGCCAGCGGGACATGCTCTTGTTAGTCACACCCAGCTGCTTGACTCAAATAAATGGCCCTGCAGGGATGTGGGTAGCATTTCCCCAACTGTATTCATCTGTTTACTGAAAACTAAAATCTTTGCATGTCCTGTGCAGGACACTCTTGGGCGCAATGAAATTATATAAAATCTCTCTTCCCTCCCACTTTGTGCACAGTTAAGGCTGGAT